GTGTGACTTGCAGCTCCCTTCTGCTGAAGCTGTCATGTCACATGAAATAAATCCCATTGCAAGTGGATGGGGTTGCAAGTGTGTGTGACTTGGTACTGAGTGTCTAGGGCATTCAGCTGGGAAAACATGGGTACACATGGGGAGAAAATTCTGGATTGCAGTCCATGCATGAAGAATGGCTTCTGCACTTTGGGTTAAGCCAGCTGTTTGTTAGGACACCTGGACAGAACACAAAGGGCCCTCTGTGTCTTCTTTCTTTTTCCTGACCACAGTCATCATGGTGGGTGTTTGTGCCTCCTTTCTCTTTCCCAAGGAGCCTTTAACTCGCTTTTTAAAAGTTTGCAGGAGTAATTTAAAAAATTTTTTTAATTGTTTAATTTTTTAAAAAATTTTTAATTTTTTTTTAAAATTAATTTTTTTAATATTTTTTTTTATTTTGCTGGGTTTTCTTACCTATTCAGCTGTAAATTTGTATCAGTTGTGGGAGCCATGCCTGCTGCTTTCACACTAGATTTCCTTGGATAACACCATCCAGTGGAATTTTAGAAAAGAGGCTTGGGACATTGAGCAATCAAATGGCAGCTAGCATGTGGACTCTTCTTGGCTCAGCCAGGCTCTTTTTGCACCTGAGGCACTTCATCCCCTCTAGACTTTTCAGACTCATATGCAGAGAGGGGCTTGTGGGGATATGTACATGCAGTTAATGTTATTTGTCAAATGTTGCATGATCCACAGCAATGTGTCCTCTTCCTGTAATAACACCAGCACTTTACTGGAAATCTTTGGACAAATGTGTTATTAGAATGGACTACTGTGATTAGAACCTGAGGTTGCACAGAAGCTTTGGGCTAGGCATGTGCTATGAATTTTTCATCATTGAATTGCCCTCTCTGAATGCAGGGAGCTGTGAAGGCTTGGGTGAAAGGGCTGCTACAGGCAGCATTTTCTTAGAAGCAGAAAATCCTTGATGAATCTTTAAAAGAGCAAGCAGGAATGGAAGCAGGGTTTGATGGTTATTGTCTTGGTGGTGTAAATACCACACAAAGCAAAATGAGGAGAAGAGAGGCCTTGGATTTGAGCTTTATATTATGTTGTTGCTAATGTAATTAATATATATAACTGTTTTGGTAGTTTCCCCTTCACCAGCCTCTTGATTATTTAAACCAATGTGCACATTTTTATATTGTTTAGTGTCCTAAACTATGGGATAGATTATCTTATCTGTGATTAAAATGGATGTGCTAATAAGCACTTTCAGACTGTGTGCTACTGGTATCTTTGCTTCTAACCAAGAGAAATCTTTCCAGTTCAGCACCTTGGCAGAAAAATGGCCAACCTAATTAGAGAAAGATTTCTCAAGAGCGGGGAAAGCATTTCTCACTTTTTTTGGCATGCCGCAATATCAAACTTGTGAATTTTATGTAAAACATTCTGGAAAGAAACAGCCGTTACGACAAATATTAGTTCTAAATTAACATAAATTAAGCTATTAGTTCTAAATTAACATAACTAATGAGGCCTTTAGTTCAGTATGAAAAGAAACAATGAAGTGCTGCAGTGTGTAGCAGCATTGTATTACTCAGTCTCTTTCTTCACTTGAGCAAACTTCTGCATGGTAAAGCATTAATTGAGTGCAGGACCTGTTTATAAATCCTGAGTGCAGCTCAGGGCTTGACTGGTGCCACCACCGCTCATTCTTAGCTTGTCTGTAATTAACTTTCTGCATCTTGAAATTCTCCATGAAATGAAGGATGGTCTCTGTTTCAGAGAAGTTTCTCTGGCCTAAAGTTAAGTGACTGAACTCCCACTGCGTCTTGAAGTCCTTACCTGGCTGTGTGGGCAACCAGGGAATAAGCCAAAAGTCTCATAGGATCAGTCTTCTAGGTAAATAACATTGTAGGCAAGAGGAGGATATGAGGTTTGTGACTCTCCATAGGTTATTCCTTATGAAAAAATTTGGTACAAGCTCCACTGATCCCTGCTGGAAGCATCCAGTGAACTGTCAAAGAGGAGCCTGGCTGCTATGTACAGTTATCTATGTAACTGTGCACTGGCACACGTGCAGTGAATATAGGCAAGTTAAAAAAAAAATAAAATTAGAACTCTTGCTTTGGTTTTTGCCTTCTGATGAATAATGGCAGTGAAAGGAATGGGCAGTGGAGGGAAGGAGCAGAGGGGAAGCCTGGCACTGGGCAAGGCTGAGGCTGGGGCAGCAGCAGGAAAATTTGGTGGGGGGAAGAGCAGCAGCCCTGGCTTGGTTAGTGAGCTTCTAGACTGTCTTTGCTGCCTCTGAAGCCACAACCAAATTCCTCTTGTCAATGTCTTTATTTTGGTTATTGTTTGAAAGAGTCTCCTTATACCCATTTTCCAATCAAAACATCATGTATTCCCTTGAATCTGAACATACTGCACTACAGGGACTGAGGCCTACCAGTCATATAACAGATGAATGCCTTTGAAAAACAAATCCTTAATCAAAGTTACGCTCCGTTTGTTTTTTAAGTTTTCATTTTTCCGTTTAAGTAGTGGTTTCATTGCTATGAGAAACATTAAGAGTTTTCTCATATTTTTCTTCTTTTGGGTCTTTTAAAACTGAATGTACCTTGTTATTAATGTCCTGCTGGAGGATATTTTCACTTATTAGCCCAGTACTTGTAGCTTGAGTCCAAGATTACCTGTGGAGGGTTTTGGTGTCTTCATGCAAGAATTTGTGCATTGTTGTTTTGACTATTTGAACACTTCCATTGTAATGTTTCTTTCTCACTATACTGTTGTAATTATATATTAAGTTAGCTGAAGGCAGAAATTCTTTTTCTTCTGTTATGTCTTTTTTGTCAGCCTGCAGTTAATTCAACATTGACTTATAAAACAACCTCAATGAAATTATAGTTTCAACTACATTGTAACTCCTTTTTTGCACAGTCACAGAAAAAAAGTAAAACCAAGTTGCAAAATGTAGACAGGTTGAAAAGGTCAATTTCAACATGAGAAAAATGCAGAAATGATGCCTATCCTCAGAAAAAGATACATTACAAATACCAACAAGTCAATTATTTCTAAACAGGTGCTGTCTTTGGTAAAAAGAATGAAGAGGTCACTCTTCTGCTCAGACTTCCTCCTATGAACATTTAATCAAGGTAAGAAAGTCACTACTGCAAATTACCTCGGACAATCGCGCAGCATTTTTCCCTGTGGGATAGATACTCCTTCTGTTGAGTAGGTATTTCTTAATGAATGAGTCACGGTCTCCAGTGATAGTCAACTCCCCAAATTACCAGATGAGCTTTTTGGAGTTTGATGAGAAATGTATTTTCATTCCAGCATGAGTTTCTTCCAGAGCAAAACAAGACTTGTGGGAAAAGCTGGGCTTTTCCAGCACTTTCACTCCTGAAAATGTCAGCAGTAAGTAGTTTTGAAACATTGATTGGAACATATTCAAAGCAGATTATCAAAATATTTTGTCTAAAAACCCCCAACTATAACTACTTTTGATAAAAGACTGTTTCAAAGCATGACTCGACAAACACACAAACCTCAAACTTTAGAAAACAGAAAAAAAAATAAAAAATTCCATATTTCCCCCAATAAATACTGTTTTTTTAAAAAATAATACTTGCCACCTGTCAGCTCAATAATCTACTCAATGAGAGAAACAAAGGGTTATCTCTGGAAGGATGTTCACCTCAGCTGTTTCTCTGGATTCCCTTGCTGTTTCTTGGTACCATCTGGTTTTGGGGGCAGCTTTGCTCACATCTTTTCTTTTTGGATTTGCAGATCTTCCAGCAAGCTCTTCCATCCTGCTCGGTCTCTGTGTCTGCTCCTTCCAGGCATGTGTGTGTCAGGTTCCTCATATTCATCCCTCTCTTGGCAAGCCAGAAAGAAATCAGTAAAAGAAGTAATTTAATCCACTGCTAGGTGCCATTGCACAAGAGCTGGTCAAGCTCCTATGGCAAATCACTCTGGAAGCACAGCATGCTTGCCTTTTGCCTTTTTTACATTTTCCCCTTGACAAACACCAGGGAGAATTCAGTGGTAGTGCAGCTGAGTATTTCTTACAAGTTGAGAAAATAGAACTTAGTATTCAGTCCCATCCTGCTGCTGGCTGCACAGGCACCTGCAGGTGGATATTGCTGCATCCCTTCAGACAGAGACATGAGTGCCTACACAGTGTCACATAACAGAGAGGGCTCATGCGTGCTGGAAAGCTGTGAAGAAAGTAAGCAGGAACTCATATGTCAGGATAGGACAGAGGGGTTTTTTTCTTAAGAAAATCTGAAGGTATGCTTAAGCCCTTCCAAGGTATCACACAGGTCACTGTTACATCATTGATGATTTACATTTTCTGCTCTGTATCATTTTCTATTCCTGGCTTAGAAAAGCAAGTTAAAGCTAGATAAATGCTGGATGTATTCAAACTGGATTAATTTGGCTTCTAATAGCTTAATAACCACTTTCTTCTCTCTCATTTGTCATTATTATGTGTCTGTTAACAAGAAACTGTTCAGCAGAATCACAGAAGAGTTGCCTAAAGTTTTACTATCAGATCTGTGAGAAGGAATAGGATAGGACAGTGAGGAATAATTTTTAGAAGTGAGGAATAAACAGAGTCTTTAAAATTTAATTTCTAGCTGTCATCATCCTAATTAGCAATGGGTCTATTTGATGTCTCACTTCAGAGAGTGAGAATAGTGCTGTTTTCTATCTGTCACAGTGACTAATGTCTTTTTTGTTAATAACCCAGTAGCACATACAGAGTCATGTATTGAATCTACAGAGTATGCTGTCCCAGAACAATTATATGATATATACTCAGTGACATCAGTGGGGATGTCCTCTATTTGGACTGCTGAAAAAGCAGACTGATGACAGGGTGTCTGCTGAACCAGAATTTTTAAGTGACTAGGTAGAAACCGTAGCCCTATGAATATACACTGCATTTAATAATAGTTTTTTACCTTCTAGCCCCTACTCATTTTGGATTGTTTTCCTCATCACAGGAGCCAGTTTCTCTGCATGTTCCACAGGGCAGCAGAAATTAGAGGACAATAAAATCACAGCTAAGTGCACCATATTCATCATGTAATACCTTTTATCCTTTCCTGGAACTGGTAAGAGAAATGGGGTATATCCCACGGAATTCAAAATGTGGTTTTGCTCATATTACATGAGCAATAGTTATGAAAGACAGATATTAAAGCAAATCACTAAATTCATATTAATTTTAGTGGGATTTTGACCAGCCCTAAGCAGAAGTGTTTGGCTTTGAGGAATTGATATCTACATTTTTATTTCACTTTTAAATAATTTCAAGACTCCCAGCATTCATTTCTTATATTGCAACAACCTTTTTCAGATGTATTTTCTCATGCTATGCAAAGTAGAATGTGGCTGGGAGTTCCAGAAGCAGATGAATGAGATCATTATCCACTTTTTTACTTCTTCAGCTGATCTTATCTTGAAGAAACACTCAGATTTGCATTGTTTGTGCCTGTGAAGGAGACCAATCATAATTAATGTGGCAGCTCACACTAAAATACTGTGCAGTATCTTAGTTTTTGCTTATTTATCGAGTAATTAGTAGAGAGTTAAATACATAATTTGTAACTTGCAAGATGCAATAAATAATTCTCTGACAGACAATACAATTCACACCAACAGCTTTCATCTAACCAGACTTGTATGTCTAGGTTTCATTTTGAGAAATGTAGCACTCTGAAATAACTGGAAAGTGATGCCAAATATTATCCAAGGAAGAACTATTGAAGATTTATCATTTAGAAGGCATCACCAACACATTCTGCTCTTTTGACTTACAAGTTACAGTAGTTTAGGGTTCTTGTGAGACTATGACACCCTCACACTGAATATAATTCCATGCTGGGTTAATGAAAGCCAGTGTTAATGTATTTGTGTGGTTAGAGTTATGGGATTAATAATATTTAAGATTTTCTTTCTACACGAGTAGCTGGAATGCTAAGCTCTTTAAACATTTCTACATATAGCTGGCATGCATAGCCTCTGTTTTGAGAAAATAGGGGGGAATTGGGTAGTCAAGATCCCATAATCTCTGTAGGAAAGTCAAATACAGATTTTTGACTCAGCTGAGTCCTTAGTGCATTAACCCCTGCAGAGTGCTGTTTTTCACTGATTTAAGTGAAAAACAAGGATGTGAGCCGTATGTTTTCCCTCACTCAAGGATAGTTGTTGAACTTTCTGTGCAAGGCTGAAGATGATGTGACATGAAAGGGTGCAGGTTTGCACTGATAGCAAACATCTGTACTGGTTTTGTTTCCGTATAAGGGGGTCATGCACAGGCTTCTGTGTTACTGCTATGTGTTAATACACTCTGTGCCAGTAACTCTTCCTCAGAAAACATGCAGTTTGACTTTTCCACAATATTTCTCAGGCTTTGGCACGCATGGTTTCGCAAAACTGCCTCGGTGACAGGAGTGATATTTTGATCTGCTTCTGGCAGTGGACTTACTGGAGCCTGGAGATCGTAATGCCACTGGAGCAGCACTCTTTTAGGAGGAGAATGATGTTTGTTGTGTTTTGCTACTTTTTCCCCTCAGTGAACCATAGACATGCTAATTGTAAGGTATGCATGGCTGGTTAAAGGAGAAGATAATTCCTGCTGGATGTCCTTTTTATTTCCTTGTTTGGAAGTGGGAGTGTTGTGTAGAGCTGTGGATGATTTTGCTGATACATGCATAGTACGTACTCAGAAAGGTTCATTAGAGCTGAAATAAGCTCCTCAAGTCAACTGATGTGAGCTTGAAGATCTTGAAGATTCTGTCCTATCTGCTGCTGATTTTCCAGATTGGATACACAGGGTTTTTTAAAGACCAGTACCATTCGACCTATCTTTGCAGATTATTTTGAAAATCCCCACACCCTCAACTCTAAAACTGCAAACTACTTGCTTCTTATTTTTATTTTTACTTTGGTATTTGGTATGTTCAGTCATTACAACTTAGTCCCACTGTCACTTTTCACAGATCTGTGGCAAAATGTAATTTTTTTGTATAGCCTATGATGTGGTAGAACTGATGAGGTTTACTTTTGCCAATTTTTCACCTGCTTAATTAAATAATTAATTGTGATTGAAAATTCTGCAGAGACACACAGAAATTCTTGTTCTCTCTGAAATAATTGAGAAAATTCATTACTTGCCATCTCACCCAATGGCACTTCATCAACTAGTCTTTTTTGAATATGCCGTTAATGCTGTAGATTAGGAAACCTATTTCATATGTTCTATAGCAGCAATTAGTTTCAGAAGGAGGAAATATATCATTCAGGAAGCCACCATGAATTGTGAGCAGTGTTAACGCCAAAATATAAAATTTTTGAATGGTTTAAGGGATAGACAGTTTATCCATGAATTTAGTAAATGCCTATGTAAATTTAGTAAGTTGAATTTTTATGCCGAAGTCACCTGAGAGTTTTGGCCTCAGACCAGTAAGGCAAAATGGAAAGAGAGAGTGAGTCAGTTGGGTTTTCTCTGTGAGCCAGAGGATGATCTCTCAGTTTAAGAACAAAGCAGGTTTAATTTCTGTTGCTGCTCCTTCCATGCATCACAAACTCATTCCTGGACATTAACATTCTTTCCTCACTCTGCTCGGTGCTGTGGCTAATAACTATTTATGGAATGAATGCAAGAGGCCGAGTCTTCTGCTTGACTGATGGTGGTCTTAAAATGGAAGGTAGCCTAGCAAGCTGATGATATAATTGCTTTTGTGCTGGTGAGTGGAGCTACCCTTGTGCTTTAATAGCTTGGTGAAGAACAGTTTAAAAACAGTTATTTTGGCTGATCTCTGGGTGCCACTATGAACTTACTTGACTTCTATTCCCATTTCCAGACCATTTAGTTTTAAGTCTCTCATGTGGCATTTATTAATCAGGATATATACAGAATCATAAGCAAATGAAAATTAAAATAATGAGAATGGAGTACAAAAAAAAATCTGTGATTTTTCTGCTCGTACATTTTCATTTTTATTACAGTATTGAAATGCTTAATAATGTACTCTTCAGCTGGTGTAATATATCTTGAGATGGTAGAATTAGTGCATATTTTGGAAAGCCCCAATGACAATAAAAGGATACACAGTTTTATGACTAGGTAGCAAACTGGAAGATCACCTGCATGCTATGTGCAGCTAAAATTACCTAACTAATGAGACAATATGTGATAACATATGGGAGTAAACAAAAAGGTGTTGGATGGGTGAAGAAATGCCATAAGTTAAGTCCATATATAGTTCAAAAAAACACTGCAGTTGTGACTCAGGCTCATGAAATTGTGGAAAGTGAGAGTTAAGGCTGCCTCTCTGTACTTAATATGCCTTGGTGCCTTTCCAGCAAATTTTTTATTATGTGAGCTGTCCCAGGGATTTTGGAATATGTGAAGCATTGTGGACATCTCTGAGGGTTTGACAGTGAATTTTTCCCATAGATCTACAAGCAAGGACAAAAGTCCATAGAATGGGGAGAGAGAGTTCTCCAGTTCCATTTTGGGTCTGTTGCAGGCAAATAACCTTTCTGTACAGCCTACCCCCCTCGTATTAAGGCATGACTGAAATTCTTTATTTACAAATTTGGACTGTGGTTAGAATTTGGACAGAAGATCTTCATTTTATGTCCCCAGAAAATGTTTTAGTCATAGAGAAAGTTACTTCTACCCTTTCAGCATAGACTGTCAGGCAAACCTGAAGTCAAAGCTCTCTTCTTTTTGACTTGGATCAAAAGCTTTCCCCTAAAATTTTTGAAATGGAAGGGTGAACTCAAATTAGGATGGTACCCCATTATTATGTTATTCTGACATGATGCTGTGAAAATCATTGTTTCCCTCTCCTATGAGATAAAAGCAACAATCAAGGCTTTAAGAGCTGGCATATAATAAAATGTCTGGTCTGTGCTTTGGATGGTTATGTTAAAAGAGGATGAGGCTTTCAGTCTCAGCTCTTACATATTCCTCCTTTCTTCAGTATCTGAGCCTCTTCCACACCCTAATGAATTGGTTTTATAGCTGTCTATTTTAGAAATGGGAATGTGAAAGTGGGGAAATGTGTTGCAGAGCTGGAAGCTGATTCCTCTTCATGCATGTCCCTCATCCAGGGCAATGCTCCCAGGGTCTCTCTTCTCATAGCTCCAACTCTTCTCTACACAACCAATTGGGTTACTGATTCATACAGCATTTCCTTTAGGTTGCCATTTTGTTCCTGCATGCTTAGGATGTCCATTTTAATCATTGACATCAAGAGGAATAAAAATAACCCCCCAATTTCTTTAGTTGAATTGAAAGTAAGAAGTACAAACCAGTCTCCCTGGCATCACTGGCTGTTCTGTAGGGGTCAGAGTTGATATCTCTTCAGTTTAGCTGTTAACTGTACTCTGAAAACAAATTCTTTTGTTTTCAGTTCTCTTTTTCTTCTTAGATTGAAACAAAATACCTTTATACTTACCATCAATATCTCCAAAGACTTAGGGAAAATTTGCAAGGTTATAAAATCTACAGTGTGTGTGGTTTGCTGTTGCAGCTGCACATTAAAGGAAAAGTAATATACTTACTTGTCCTCCTTAGAAAAGCATCTATAAATTAGCACTCTTTGAAAAGTCCTGGTGCCTAGCACAATTTCTATACGTTACAGTCAAAATGTGGGCATTTGGTTTTTATCACTTCAATTAATTTAAACAGTCTTGCCAAGATCTGAGTGGTCTCTGCTCCAACCTTTTTCTTTGTAACATTTTCTGACCTTGTCTCTTTCCTCTTAGGGTCAGAGAAATGGGGTGCCTGTGAGGTGCAGAGTCTCCCCAGTGACTCGGTGCTTTTGCATGGGTTGGTGAGGCCAGCAGTCCATATGGCAAGGGTGAGTGTGACCTGGCTGGATATCCTGCATCCTGAACTGCTCCACCATGGCTGGTCAAGCTGAACACCATCATGCCTTCAGTAGGGATGAGACTGTCTCCTTCTGGGTGTCTTTGAAGGTTTTCTGCCCTCACTGGAGAGCCTGCATCTCTGTTTCCATCCATCTCACTGGAATGGGTAATTCCTGTGCTTTAATAATTGTTTATCTGAACCTCTTCAGCTCAGTTAAGGGGTTAAGGGCATACTTCAGCATGTTAGAGCATGTTACTGCCTTCTTGCAGTACTAAGAAAGAGGAAGAGAAACTTTAGGCAAGTGAGAAGGATTTGTGTTAACTCTGTTGCCAAGGAGTTTTTCTTAAATTCTCACCTTCCATAATAACTGAGTAAAAATAATATTGAATCTATTAAATCTTCAAGTATCTTACTTTTTCTTCATCAACACTAGGATGAAGCAGTTTACACTCACCAGAAAAGCACATGAGTGAGGCAGAGATACCAGAGTTGTTCTTGTCCTTCCATGCCCTGTCCCCTGTGTTTCTTAATCTGCATGTGCAAATTAAACTGAAATTAAACTCTTAATTTATCACCGTGTTGTGGTGACAGCAGGCAGGATCAGAACACTTTAAAAACACATAGCAGCACATTAACATCAGAAACAGATTCTTCCCCAGAGAGGAGAGAAGATTTTAAAGAATGCAGAAAGATGCCACAGGGCCGTAATCCCTCTCGCTGCGCAGAAAACAAGTGATTGTTGTCGAAACACTTGGAGGGGAAGGTGGGTCCAATAATCTGCAGAACATATGTAGGATAAGACTTTTCCGCTGGAGATGAGGACTTGAAATAAACAACATTAGAGAAAAAAAATCATGGCAAAACAAAAAAGGGAGGAAAGATGTTATATGGTAATAACTCAATGTGACTGCCCAGAGAAGTGAACTGCTCCAAGGAGCATCCCTCTGGATGCAGATTGTCTTTGCTACAGAGGGCTGCAGGCTCTCCCCACATCCCCATGCTCTCTTTGCTTGCCATGGTATGATTTTGCAGGGCTGTGAGCAGCTTCTTTGTCCCTTCATGGAGTACTAGCAGGTATCCCAGGATCTGTGAGGGCCATTTGTGAAGACAGCCTGTGGTCCAGGTTTAGTAAAGCTCTTAAACACGTGCTTAAGGGATTTGCTGATTTGGATGCTGCCAGCTCCACTGGCTCCCTACACGTCTTCTGGCTCACTGGCTGTTTGGCTCTGCAAGTGCTTTAGGATGCTCCTGACATCGATAGCTGGGCCCCCTCTTCTCTGCAGCCTTAGAAGTGGGGCAGGCATGCTAGCCTTGCCTCAGCAGGTATGTCTTTTCTCTGTTAATTCATGGTGGGAAATGAGATTGCTGGTTCCACGTTCATCCCAGCAGGTAAGAGCATGTTGCGGCATGTGGGGTCACAGTGGATATCCTGTCCTGCTGACAGTCCCATAGAGCATGGTCCCCAGCCTTCTGCTTGCCATGTGCCTGCCAGTGGCACTGCTCTCCAGGGTTTGACCACCCATCCCATGGACTTCACTCCCTCCCTGCTCAGAACAACCTCCTGTTGCAGAGGGTCCCCTACAGGGCTGTGCCTTCTCTTGGTAGCAGTGAGGAAAGGCATGGGAAAAGGCTTTGGTTAAGTGATTGTGCTTTAGAGAAATTTCTACCTTAAGCTTATGGCATTGGGGTGGGGTAGTGGGGTGGTGTCTTTCCCACAACAGGGGCAGGAATGAGATTTCAAACCCTTTGCAAATATGATAGTTTTAAAGCTTGCTGTCTGGAAGAAGGCTTTAGACATCACTTTTAAATGCTGAAATTCTTTGAGAGCACCAAAGTGATTTATAGCCCCAGGTCTGAGGGCATCGGCAGGAGTAATTTTCATGGCTCCTAAGTCACTGTTCTTTTAAATTAAGTTTTACTGCCTTAGGATCTTTTCAATATGTTACCCTTGTTTCTATATTAAACTTCAGATTACAAAATTTTAAATGTTTGTATTCCCACAGAGACTGGGTAAAATGAGTTTATTTTTTTGATCCTCCTTTGCTTCATCCAAGAGACCCCAGCTGAGAGAAGCTGGAGATCCCCATTTGTTGTTTTGTCCAGTCCAGAGGTGCCCCTGCCTGCAGCAGTGATGCTCCTCAGGGAAATGCAAACTTGCCAAGCTTTCCTTACCTCATCCCAGCATGCGGTTCACCTCACTCAGAGATGCACAACTGTGACACACTTTGGAGGCTGGCCAGGAGAGATGTATTGCCTGGCAGAAGCAGGACACACATCCCTCCTGCACCGCTTGTGATTTGTGTGCCAGGCCAGGGCCCCCTCAGGCTCCTTTGCCGACACAGGTGCTGGTGTTCTTTGATACGGCCCCTGCTCCTTCCTTCATGGGAACAGGGCAAGAGCAGAGCCTGTGACCATGCCAAAGCCTCTTTGGAGACACCTGTACCAACAAGCCAAGGTGCAGTTTTATTTTCTCCACAGGGATTGGGATCCACACAGGCTTGTGTACCCATGGCTGAGCTGTTGGTTCACTGCATCCAGACTTCCACTAGGAGAACCTGTGTTTGGAGAACCTGTGCCCACAGGCTAGCATTGGGGCCTAATATGCCTTTAAAACTGGTGTTTCAGGCCCCCATGAAGAAGTTAATAAAGAAGTCTGAAGCAGTGGGATTGTTTTGTTTGGAGGTTTTCTAATAGGGCTGAGGGACTTTGTAAGGGACTTTCTTTAAATCAAGCCTCAGATTTGCATTTTCTATCAAACAGTGCTGGGGCAGGGCAGACAATACAGGGGTAAGTTCTGCAGCTGGGCACTGTTCCCCTGCACACTGCTGCACTGGAAAAGCGGGGGAGCAGAGAGAAATCTGTGCTTGAAACTATGCTGCAAACCAACATTTCTGCTAATTCACCTGCAAGAGGCAAACCACTTCAAGGGCTTCATTGAAGAAAGAAATTTTTTTTCCCTTAGGAAGCTTTAAAAGAAAGGGCCCTCTTGACAGGAAAGAAATGCTGGTGATTCAGCTGAGCAGAGTGCAGTGTGCTCAGCAAAAAAAAGAAAGAAATGAAAGTGTTAGCAGAGCCTTGATTATTGGTGACAGAGGAGCATTAGCCAAGTTATAATGGATTGCCAAACTTCGCTCATGTTTGCTTAGTCTCCCAAGTTCTTTGCACTGAGTCAACATCTAGCCATCTGGGATGGAAGGTGGGGGAAGTAAGTTTTTGTTTAAAAAAAAAAAAAGTGAAAATCAGTTGAATTTATGTTTCTATTTTAACGGAAGAAGTGTTTAAAAGGAAAACATACCTTTCAGAATGAAGCATTTGTTTTTGTTCTCTACAAGTGCTTGTTTGAATTCGTGTTTGTTAAAGGGCTTGTAGTTAGTAAATCATGGAGGTTTCCCTTGGTAACATAAAAATAGGTGTGATCGGAAAATTTGTGGCAAGAAAATAAAACTGCCTTTTACACACTTGCACTTCACTTGACTTGGTGAGATATTTGTAAACCCGGTTTGACTTAAAAGTATTTTTTTTAAAGAATAAAAGTATCATTAATACAGAAATTGTCCAAGAAGACACACAGAAGTTGCAGCAACAACACCATGAATCATGTGTCCACCCAAGGACACAGCCATTCCCAAGTGGTGGTGCTTACTGATGAGGGAAACACAAAACACTTGAGTAAGAAAGCAAGAACAGCTTGGGAAACAAAGACAGATTTTTGTTTAGCACATATAATTTAATTTGCCAGCCTTGTCCTTCTGCACACTGATCCAGCCACTTCTTTCATTCAGGACCCCTTGGCTTTGATAGGCACAGCTACGGTGACCTCTTGTCATTGTATTTGTGTGTGAAAATAACTGTGCCCAGCTGTATACCACACAGCAACCTGGGCTGCTCAGAAGCCCAGGGGAGCAAACAGACAGATGACAGCCAGCTTGAGATGGCTTTGGGTCAGGACCTTGTGCTAATGAAAAAAGGAACGATACTTCTGAATGGAAAGTTTTGCCCTTGTACTGCACCGCTCCCTGAGGGAGCTGGGAACAGTGCAGTTATTTTCACACACTGACAGGAGTGTACAGGTAAGGGGAGGCAGGCACAGCCACTGGGATGGAGATTTGACTTTAGCCCTCCAGTCTCAGCTGAGGCTTTTTGAGGGCCAGAGGTTACCATGGATGACTCTGCAGCACAGCTGAGAGAAACATTCCACTGAAGGTCCATCTGCTGATATCTTCAGAGACTTCTATGCCTGTTGGCTTCATTCAGATAAACCACCAAGGTTAACTGGTGGGATGGCTTAATCCCAAGGGATTTCCTTGAGAGTCACTATGCTACTGCATCTGTCTAATTTTGAACAGAAAATCCTGCTGGTGACAGAGTCCCAGCATTTTGTGTTGGTGTTGTATATGTGGGAAGATTTAGTGACTTGCAAAATTCAGTACATCATAATCAGTTTCTGGGTCACTAAAGAGACTTGGCAAACTTTTGTTGTACTTTGTAATGTGTTTTTTTCTGTTTTAAGTCAAACCAGAGAGAGAGCCTTGACTTTGAGTGTTCTGATTTATTTCATCTGCTCTTAGAAGGGAACTTTTGTTTTGTTGCACATAGAAAAAAGATGACCCTGGTGGAACATAGCACTCATAAAACAACAACAAAAAAGAAAAAACAATTATGAAACAGGAATATTTGAAGACATGGTATGTCAGTCATTTAATTTGCATCCAAATTAAACTATTTTTTAAGTAACATATTCTTTTGAATTCTGATACACTAATAAGAAAGGTTTATTTAGGAAGGGTTAACTTTCTCTTGTGCACAAGGATCTAATTCATTTAAACCCTGTTGAGTTTTCAGCACAGAAATGAAGTGTTATGTGGTTATGCTGGAGCACTTGGCATTGGGTGAATTTTTCCCATCGTAACGTTGACTTACCAGACATGTGCAAAGCCTGTCCACCTCGCTGTGCCTGTGTAGCAGAAGGCAGCACTGCAAGCAACCCCGTAAGTAAAGCCCCAGGTAAACTTCCATAAAGAGTTTACAAGTCTTTCAGACCTGGGAAGACTTAGAAAATGCTCGTGAAATACAAACAAAACTGAGCATCTTCACACGCTGTAGATAGGGTCTTTGGTAGCTGCAGGGACTTTATGCAGTGATGTGTTTTAGAGTGATGACACTCAAGACCAGGATTGCAGTTCTGAAGTAAGGATAACAGAGATTCAGGGGTAATACCAAGGCTAGGGCTGTTTTGTAACACACTCTTGCAGTAAGTGAAGATGAGAAGTTGGTGTTTGCATGGTGCTTGCATGTGGCATGTTGAGTCTAATCCCTGTATACGACATAGTAATAGATATGTAAACAGTTCTGAA